AGAAGTAGGCACCAGGGAGGGTGTGCACAGTGGAGTTTGAATAATTCAGAGGCCAGTGCTGGCGTTTCATACATGCCTACTTTGAAAGAGAAATACTGTACACCAAAGAATTAAGGAAAGCTGTCTAGCCGTGAGGAGATAGATTTTATTTTCTAATTTCAAACTTTTCCAAATCCCAAAAGCAAATCATTTCAAATCTGTTTCTTTTGTTTGCAAAATAAACAGTTTCACCTGGGGAACTAGGGTCTCGTGATTGGGATGCTATTTACACTAGACTCACCCATTCAATTATTATTTGAGAATGCTTTCTCTAGGCTCAAAATAATGCTGTTTTTATGCATCAGGATATGAAGACATAAATGTCATGACCCTCATGAAGGGGGCGGCCTCTTTATTCCTAATGAATGATTAGCTAAAAACATATAACCCAACAACTCTGAGGGAGGTACAAAGTATTTTAAGGCCTGGCACAGCACAGTAGATGAAGTTCAAGGCCTGTGTCCATTGTCAAGAATGTCTGTTTATGAGGATTCAATTCAACTGAGTCTTGAACATTTGGAGGTATTTACAAGATCTTCAAGTTTTAAGACACCCTGATTTGCTGGCATTTAAAAGCAAGGAAAAGCATCAGAACTATCTCCTATCTTGAATATATCTACCTGTTTGAAGTCAGAACTCGCAGTTTTACTAATTTTGACTATTCTTAATTGGTTGCTTACCTACAAAAGGTCAGAAGACTACATAGATTGAAACACACATCAATTATTTGTTTCCAAAGTAATGTCTATTTATACAGTTTTCAGAAACCTTTATTCTTTTTTGGTGATATCACCAAATTTGGTTATAAAAATAAAGATATTAGATTGGGATACATATAGTTAATATGTAAAACCTAGTACAAGCCAAATTTCTCTCAGTTGTATATATGCTTTTAAATAAAAGCTTTTTTCCACTTTTAAAAACTGTGTCAGAGGCATACTCTGAAGGGTTTACAATGCAGCAATATCACAGGTCATTTAATTAAATGAAAAAATATGAGTAAATTACTAGCGTCAGTTAGCTGGCGGGTGCAGTGGCCCAGCACTAAGGAACCTGTATCTCTATGCTCAGGTAAGATGTTCTCTGAAGACAGAAATGCAATAAACTTCATGTTGGAAGCACAGCTTTAAATGCAACTCCCTCACAAAAGGCTGCTCAACACAGCTGATGACCATCTCCTCAGGAGAGGTCCGGCTGCCTTGGCAGGATTGACCCTCATTAGTCCTTTTCCAGAAATGTCTGGAAATGTATTCACCCAGAGTTGACACCTGCTATGGCCATTATGTTTTGCTATTTAGGAAGAAAATCATCCTGGAGCCCCCTCAGATATCATGGCCCTAGAAGTCATCAGAGTAACTTTATGAAGACGAAGGCTAATCTGGACTCTGGCTAATCTGGACCGTGGCTAGAGCATTAATACTAGAAGCAATGAGTCAGCAAATAAAA